TGCGGTTGGCCCTGGGTTCCTCCTAATGCAAGACAATGCTAGACCTCATGTGGCTGGAGTGTGTCAGCAGTTCCTGCAAGATGAAGGCATTGATGCTATGGACTGGCCCGCCCGTTCCCCAGACCTGAATCCAATTGAGCACATCTGGGACATCATGTCTCGCTCCATCCACCACAGACTGTCCAGGAGTTGGGGGATGCTTTAGTCCAGGTGTGGGAGGAGATCCCTCAGGAGACCATCCGCCACCTCATCAGGAGCATGCCCAGGCGTTGTAGGGAGGTCATACAGGCACGTAGAGGCCACACACACTACTGAGCCTCATTTTGACTTGTTTTAAGGACATTACATCAAAGTTGGATCAGCCTGTAGTGTTTTTTTCCACTTTAATTTTGAGTGCAACTCCAAATCCAGACCTCCATGGGTTGCTAAATTTGACTTCCATTTATAATTTTTGTGTGATTTCGTTGTCAGCACATTCAACTATGTAATGAACAAAGTATTTAATAAGAATATTTCATTCATTCAGATCTAGGATGTCTTATTTTTGTGTTCCCTTTATTTTTTGGAGCAGTGTATAAACAGGTGGAGATTTTGCTTTTTAATATCTACATTCCTCTACTCAATAGGAAGGATTTGATCAACAAGATTTGGGATGGCATAGAAGATTTTATTCTTGGCTGTTCAAATACCCCACAGCAGCAATAATTATTGGAGGTGACTTAAATGTTGGATGGGTCCAAACAATCAAGCATTATTTGATCAATTTAAGATCCATTATGATGAGAATGTACCAGAAGAACCCCTGTATTCCAGACAATTTAAAGATCCTAAAGCAAATTGGGCAGGTTTATGTGTAAGACAGATGACTTTACATTTGGACCTTTGTATCCTTAATGGTTCCACAAAAGGCGACTACCCAGCAGAATATACTTATCAGGGAGTAGGAAGAAAATCCAGTTGATTATTGGATAATATGACCTCCAGAAGTTCTTGCAAAAGATGGAGGTAGACTCACGATGGAAAGCAATCACAATTCAGTAATCCTTACTCTCACATTACACCAGAAATCTCTAAGAACTGGTTCAATCTACCTACCCAGGCTAAAGAGCCAAAATACCCAGGTAAAAATTAAATGGACCAAGAAAAATGCAAAGGAAGTTACTAAATGGCTGTTTAGTGCCAGAAACATTAGAACTTCGTACATCTCTACTAAAAAATAAGTTTGAAGGATCATACTTAGAGGGGTTTGAAACTTTAATTTCAAATTTGAAATCGGTTCTCACTAACAGAATACTAGCTCAATCCAAAAAGCCGATTTTAAAGAATAAAAGTTGGTTTGATAGAGATTGCGTGCAACTGAAAAGGACATATAACAAAAGAGTATAGGAAAAGTAAAAATACTCCTGAGGATCACACTCGCTACTTAAAGCAGTTGAAGGCACAATATAAGACCTTGCTAAAAGAAAAAAAAAAGTGTGGCTCTGAAGGAGTCTTAGATTAATAGATTAATCTATGGCATATATTAATTGCAGCAGTCAAGACAAAAAATACATCCCTTTTCTGGCACATCACTAGAGGATTGGGGAAATCCCCCCTACCCCCAACTAATCAGGTACCGATTCATGCCTGGGAAGAATATTTTAGAGAGCTATATACAGACCCTGACTATGTAACTAAGGAGAACCAAATTAGTTTGGACCAAACTCCTTACTGGCCCCCAGTTACACCAGGAGAGAGATCCCGGTTGATCAGAACCCTCAAGGCTAATAAGGCACCAGATGCTGATAATGTCCTGCCAGAAATAATCAAAAAGAATGCCAGTTGGTGGGCTCCACTTTTAGCATCTCTATATGTATAGATAAAAAGGGCCGTATGCCAAGAGATTGGGGATTAGCAATTATCATACGAATTTATTTAAAAAGGTAATAGAAATTATAGATCTATTAGCCTTCTGAATGTTATTAGTAAATTGTATGCCAAACACCTAAACTATAAACTTCAGGATTGGCTAATTTCCGGGGGGATAATCAAAGATGAGCAAGCTGGTTTTAGAGAAGGAAGATCTACGGTGGATCATATCTTGGTATTTCATCATCTGGTTCAAAAATACATGAATAAAAAAAATCCTCTTTTCGTGGCCTTCCTTGATTTTAAGCAGGCCTTCGATTCAATATCCAGGAACACCCTCTGGGAGAAATTAAAACACACTACCATCAATAAATGCCTCCTTTTCCTCATACAAAAATTGTATGCTAATTCCACTTTGAAAGTGAGGTGTAATGCTCAAGAGACTTTAACCAGCCCAGTAAGGATACAAAAAGGTACAGCAGGGTTGCATCCTATCCCCCTCCCTTGACCGTCTGATCAACCTCTTACACAACCCTGATTTACATCCTCCTAACATGTAAAATCCCGATTCTCCTATATGCAGACGATGCTGCTATAATTTCACAAACTCCAATAGGACTGAAGAGAGCAATTATGGCAACACTTGAATTTTGTAAACAGAATAAGCTGGTTTGATAAATCAAAAGTTTTGGTTTTTTCTAAAAGACCTAGACAATATTCCAGGCAAATAGAAGGGTATAGTTTAGAACAAATCAGGACATTCAGATATCTTGAGGTGGTTTTCCACTCGCAAGGGACATGGAAGGCACACCTGGATCACACATTGCAAGCAGCCTATAGGTCCTCAAATGCAATTAAACATATATATTTTTACACCGGTGGAGGGCAATTAGTACCTGCGGCCTTAAAACTTTTTGAGGCCAAAACATTGGCACAAATTCTATATGGGGCACAAACAGGAATCCTTGCAAAAAGTCTTGCTAGAACCTATACAAACCAAATTCCTGCGAGCCATCTTAGCTGCACCCAAAGGCACTCCAAATGCCCAGGTAAGAATTGAGTCAGGCATGCCTCAAATTCAGGAAAGGGCCTGCAAGATGATGATCATTCGTTGGCTAAAAATGCATTTCTTCCCAGAGGGACTGACCCCTCTAGTACTGACTGATAACTACCCCTCCCCCTGGAAACAGGCAATAGACCACAAGCTGGGCTCTTATGGGCTCTACCCAGTACTAATGTCCCTAGGCTTTGACCAAGCAAAGCAAGTAGTAATCAATAGAATTAAGGACATGGAGTTCCAAGAACTAAATAGGTTGGCTCGCCACAGCAGGGACAGAATTAAACAGGGAGTGTGGGAATCAGCAAGATATCTAATGATCTGATCTTCCCAAAACAAAGAACAGCATTCTTCAGAGCCAGATTTAATATTCTCCCATCAGCACTCCTTCAGGACAGGTATAAGAAAACACCAATAGCAGAACAGGTATGTATACGTGGTAAAGGAGACATTGAAGACATGTTTTATTGTTCTGTGAGTTATACAGAGTTTATAGGTCATTGTATATTCTCCCCTTACTAGAGAGACTGTCAGGGAGGACAGACAATTTTTATGTAGACTTTCTCCTCCAGGATTCAAACCCAGCTATTATGTGTGCAGTGGCAAAATTCTGTGTTGCTGAAATGTCTAGAAAAAAAAATGGTTACAGAATTATAGCTGTCAATTTGTGACAATTTTTGGAGATAGAGCAAACTTTGGAAAATGATATTTACACACATACTTATTGGCTCTCCACTCATATAAACCAGGGAGTGCCCCTAACTGTTTGAGAACATGTATTTTCTTAATGTATGTATGTATGTATGTATGTGTGTGTGTGTGTGTGTGTGTGTGTGTATATAGTAAATAGTGATGTCTATTGCTGGTCTAACACCATAATAAAGTTATATTCTATTCTAATTGTGCTGTTGGAGAAGATTATTGACAGTCTCTTGAACTGCAAGGAGATCAAATCAGTCAATCTTAAATCAACCATGACTTTTATTTGGAAGGACAGGTATTGAAGCTGAAATTCAAATACTTTAGCCACCAAATGAGAAGAGAGGACTCATTGGGAAAGAAAGACTCATGCTGGTAAAGACTGAAGGCAAAAGGAGAAGGGGATGGCAGAGCATGAGACTGTCACTGATGTGGTGGGCATGGGTTTGGGCAGATTCTGAAAGACAGTGAAGGACAGGGAGCTTGGTGAGTTCTGTCATAGGGTTGTGGTGGGTCAGGCATGGCTTAGTGACTCAACATTCTACAAATGATTGGTTCTAGCTTCAACTTGTTAACTACGGTATCAGAGTGAGAATGGTGCTTTAACAACCTGTTTTCTTCTGTAAGCTGTCTGGTACAGAACATGCTTTTGTGGGCATTACTGAAGGATCTGGAATAGGAAAACTGGTTCCTCGTGTATTTATGGAATATCTTGATTAAATGGTATGGCCATCTCAAACTAATTATTGAAGAAACTACCACAGCATCAGTTTCTTGATACAGACACAGGTAACTTGCAAATTTTCAGAGAGAACATTTATTGACTAAAAGGGAGTGTTGCCTTTAAACTTGTAAAGTGCCATAAAGGATAAGTCTGACTTCCTGTTCCTGCACCCACACCTACACTAAGAAAAGCCATTGCTTATAAAAGGCAGAAGGCATATAAAATGTGCAACTGCCAAAATTGCTAATCTACTTGCAAGTGGAAAAATGTCATGAGGAAGAGAAAGAGCTCTGAAAACTGTACTGGGTGAAGGTGGAGAGAACTGAAACATATCTGGCATGAAGTGAACTAATAGTGATCAATAGCTTTTTGTAATAGAACACCCAATCAATGTGCAAGGCCCCGAGAGGCTGACTCTACCAGATACATTAATTTTACCTGATTCCCAACTTGAAACATCCCCCTCCATGGGAGAGTAAGCCCTTCAGTTCTTTATTTGTTATGACAATACTGTTTATTCAAGCGAACAAAGACATTATTGGCCACTCCGTTTTATGCTTGTCTTGTTTTCCCCAATTCAGTTGCTGAATGAATGGTTGTTTGAAGAAATCCTCAACTTTTAAACTGAAATGAACATAGGGTTTTCCTTCCATATGCATGAAAATGCAACTTATCCTTCTTTTTAAAGGCCTATGAAACAAGTCCAGTGCTGATGAAAAGGAAGCTCTTGTTTTCAGGCTGGTGCTCAGCAAAATCTGAAGCTAACCAATAGTCTCTTTAATGAACCTCATCTGACTGTTTCCTTTCTAAAAAAAAATTCTAGGCTGTCATTTTAGTACTAAATGTCCTTCTTTACATTCAGCAGCTTTATTCCAGTGTCACGGCTTTCTGTTGCAGCCTAACCGAAGATGAGAATAGGTCTGCATATGGGTTTAGGGACCCCAAGGTAAATTTTTTTGCAGTGTCTTCCATAGGGAACAGCTGGAATACTACAGGTCAGAGAAGCAGAGACAACTGCTGTCTCAGATTTCTTTTTTGGACATAAGAAATGTAGCTCTATTTCAAGCCTGTATCTTTATCTCTACATAAATAAAAAAGTCTGAGGTGGTGGGTCCGGCTAGCCAGCAATCATAAGATGACAAATTCCTCAGCTGAGGGCTTCTTTATTCTGTCCCGTTTACTATGCTGTTGGACTTGCATGGTTTGCTGGGCAAAATGGGCACACATCTCCTCCAAACCATATTCCTGAGCGCAGCCCTCCACAACCGAGAACATGGGATATTTTTCTTTGGCAGCTGCATAGTTTAGGATCTGCAGTGGGAATGAAGAATAATGAACTAGTACAATCCATTTACTTGCTATAAAATTCAGACAAGCAGGCTTGACATTCATTTTTATTAGGCCTGGATTTTGTTCCATTTCTGACTGGAGGAGCAATTGTTTTAAAATGGCTTGTAAGAATTACACAGAACTCACAATTTATGATGGAAGCTTCCAGTTTTGTTGTGCTGAAGAATCTTAAACACAGTGAGTAAAATACTAATAGCTTCTTTTAAAGCACGAGCCTTTTTAAAAACTCACATCCCAAGTTTCCAGTTTCAAATTCTACAAATAAACACATTTGTTTCCCCAAATTTCTGTCAAGTTCTATCTTTAATCCAGAGTAAACACTAATTCAGAGAATAGCTTGTAAGTGAACCCAGAAAAATATAATTCTTCACCTGAGTTAAGTCCAAGCAGAGATGTTCAAATTCCATTCTGTGACGTACATAGAACCCAATAGTACAGCTGGGATCCAACTTTGTGAATGATGTTTTTCGAGGATAATTACAGTGGAAAGTCTGGAAAAGAGTTAACAACATTAAATTTCTCCAATTTTTTAGATTGCCTGTCTCTAGAATCAACCTTCAAATGAAGTCTTAGATAATTCCACCATAAACAGGAACTGATAAGATTGAGAACAGACATCATAAGTCTCAATGCCTCTTTCTGTAACTGGAAAAAAAAGATTATTTCAAAGCCAAATATATAAGGCACTACAATATAATAGACTGGTATCAAAATAGCTTTGCTTTCAAGATAATATGCTTTTATATACAAATGTACGGAGTAGGTTTTACAGTTACATCTCATTATCTTAAGAGAAGTCAGCATAATTGAGATACACGTTTTAAAGAAGAAAATTTAAAATAAGCTGTGAAATTATTTTCAATCTAAAAAACATAGTTTCTATAGTCTGCAACTCATTAGCATCCTTAAAACAATTACATCACATCTTGATGTTCAAGAGAAGATGTTGGAATTGTTACCTATAAACAACCCCAACTTTAGGTCACCTACCCTGAACTATGATACACAGATCCCTCTCTTTTTAAAAAAAAATTTAAAAAAATAAAGTTTAAGTTTCATATATTTAAAACATTTAAAAAGAAACAAACATATAAACAAATATATATACATATATACATTTTGCAGCAGGTATTGAGCATTGGTTACATTTTTTTTTCTTTTACCGCATAACATTGACGTAATCTACCTTGTTACAATACCTTCCTCGTTCTTTTAATGTTTTAATTTCACAGAATACTTTATAATTAAATGCATGTCCTTCATAATTTCATACCTTATTCAGTTATCAAATGTTGCTTTTTCGTTAGCCATTCGTACCAACAGTTCCAAACTTTGTAGTATTCACTATCTTTGTTGTTTTTTAGTAATTTGGTTAGGCTGTCCATCTCTGCACTCGTGAATTTTTTTAATGACCATCTCCTCTGAAGGGACAATAGACAGTTTCCAATTTTGAGCATAACTTATTCTGGCTGCCGTTATAATGTGCAAGATTAAATATTGATTTTTTTTCTTCTATTTTTGAGTCTATCATACCCAACAAGAAGGTTTGGGGTTCAAGTTTTACTTCTTGTTTAGTTATATTTAGAATCCAATTTTTGATATTTTTCCAAAACTTCTGCGCATATGGACATGTCCACCACATATGGAAGTATGTTCCCTGGGCGCAGTTACACTTCCAGTAGTTTGGGGGGAGGTTCAGGAACATCTTAGCCAGTCTCACGGGTGGCAAGTGCCAACGATACACCATTTTATAGAGATTCTCTTTGTACGAGGCTGACATAGTTAGTTTGTAATTTATTTCCCAATACGTTCCCACTTGTCTAATTCAATACTGTGGCCCACATTTTTTGCCCAAATTATCATACACTCCTTGACTGTTTCTTCTTTTAATTTATAATCCAATAGATACTTATATATTTTACTAATCAGCTTCCTTTCCTCTCCATGCCAAATTTTATCTAATTCTTGGTAGGTCACGTGAAAACCAAATTGTTCTTTATCTTTTTTGTAATGCGATTGCATCTGTGCATAGGGCCACCATGCTATCTCTTTTCCTTGAATTTGTATTTGATTCCTACCCTTTAACTCTCCGGTTTGATGTAATAGATCTTTATATCTTACAATATTATCAAAATCTAAAACATGTGTAACTGCCTCCATTGTAGATAACCGCAGTGGCACCTTACAGTAATGTACTTTTTTATCTTTTCCCAAATATTTAGTAACACATTCCTTATATAATGCCTTTGAAAGTACAAGTGGTGTTTACTCTTTCCATCCCACATAAATGTGTGCCATCCAAGTTGGAAATCAAAGCCCTCTAATGTTAAGATCCTTTTATTTATCATATTAACCCACTCTTTGAGCCAGGTTGCTATCGCAGCATAGTAGTATGTTATGAAATCTGGAAGACCAAAGCCTCCTTTCTTTCTATCGTCCTGTAATAATTTATATTTTATTCTGGGTTTTTTTCCCCTGCCATATAAATTTGGATATATGTTTATTTAGTTCTTCAAAAAAGCTTTTTTCCAACTTGACTGGCACCGTCTGAAATAAGAACCCATTGTTACAATCAGAGCTCCTGTCAAAAACTCCACTGCTTCACCACACCACTCAATTCGGAGCTTCCTTTACAGTATACACTTATATTCTGAAAATCTTCTTTAAATACACCTTTTCAGTGCTCAGCCTGCTGTTTCCGTCTTTTCGCTTCTTTTAATCGGCTGGGCTGCTGCGTCTCTGGTTCCGATCATCACGGTTGTCACGATTTCCCTCTTCTGCCGTTGGTTTTCAGGGGGTTCTTCTTCCAGTCTCCGTGATCGCGGCACCTCCCCAAGACCTCCGTGTCTTCCCCTTTCTTTTGCCTACCCCTCCGGGGTCTGGCATGCTCCAAAAAGCCACCAACTAGCGAAAATCGGAATCTTTCAGAGCGGTGATCCGCTCCTCAGCTCCACACCGGCACAGCGCCCAACCACCAGATCCCTCTCTTATACCATATTTTCCCGAAAGTAAGACCCAACCAGAAAATAAGCCCTAACAGGATTTATTAGAATGCATCTAATATAAGCCCTACCCTAAAATTAAGCCCATTAAGAGTCAGCCCTGGGGGGGTGGGGTGTAGCCAGCACAGAAGGCAGTGACTGCGAGATCCCAGTGTAGCACCACCCCTGCCCCACCTCCTGCCTCTCCTGATCCATTTGGTGGTAGCGCTACACATCAACAAGGTTGCCAACAGAGATGCTGAGAAGGAGCACCAGGCTGCTCTGGCTAAAAGTTCTTTCCTGTTGATGGCTTGGGAGGGACTGAGAATTAGATGAATTAATGGCTGCCTGAAATGTGCTTGTAGCGGCTGCTGGAAACAGAGTGGGCAGCCCCGCGCCTCTGCCTCCACCTGCTTCTGGTGCTGCCTGCAACAGTCCGTTGCTTCAAGCAATCGGCAAGCATGTCGAAAGCAAAAAGCGGGACTCACTTGCCATCCTATGCACTGTGGAAGGCAGCGAAACATAGAGAGGCTCTTTCTCCCTTTCAAAACCTGCCAGGACATGATCTGAATAACACCCAGCTTTACCTGCTACTGAAAGGCCTCCTAGCTCTTTCCTGAAGAGAGGGCAGCTCTTCTCTACATTTTGCTGACTTCCGCAGTGCAGGGGACAGGCGAGTTCCACTTTTCGCTTTTCACATGCTTGCCAATCACTTGCAGCAACTGGCACAAGTGACTGCCCATGCTGCTACTGGCCTCGGGGCTCTTCACCCTCTTGGCAGTGTTGCTCTCAACTGCCCTGCTGGGCTGCTTCTGCCTGGCGCAGGGGGAGTCGGCCCAGATCTATGACCTCTGGAATGCCTCCCTGCCTCACAGGGCCCCTTCACCGGCGGCTGCCAGTGAATCCGCGCCACCTCATCTGCTGCCACCTTCGGGCTACTGAGTACCAGTGGGAACATCTACTCGATGCTGCAGGTGCTTGGCTACAAGTTGAGCCCGGCGCTCTTTGGGCCCCGGTCTTGGTGGGTGCTGCAGCTCTCGTGTTGACTGTATGTGGCGGGTGTGGGGCTGCCCCTGGCCACCCTTGGCCTCTACCTCACCTGTGGCTGCTCTGCCACCAGCTGCAGCTGCCAACTCACAAGGCGAGACAAGGCAGATGGGTGGGGGGAGTGGAGCGGTGGGTATCTAGCAGGCAGAGGGAGGGGTGCTCCGCCTGGCCTGTGAGGTGTGTGGGGAATTCCAGCCTGAGGTACTGAAAGCTGCTAGGTAACAGCCAGGGCTTGGCGGGCCGGACGGAAAGCAAGGCAGCAACAGCAGCAGTGGCAGAGCACCCATAGATGAGATAGAGCCAAAAGGCAGCCAGGGGCAGCCTCCTACCTCACACACACCTACCTCACACAGCTGGCATGACAGCTGCAGAGTCCACCAGGGCCAAGGCCCAAAAAGCGCCAGGCTCAGCCCGTAACCCAGCACCTGCAGCACTGAGCAGCCCAAAGGCGGTAGTGGGTGAGGTAGCACAGCTCCACTGGCGGCAGGGCGAGTGCTCCAGAAGTCATAGATCTTGGCCAACTCGTCCTGCACCAGCACCAGACACAGCAGCCCAGCAGGGCGCCAAGAGCAGTACTGCCAGGAAGGCAAAGAGGCCAGCAGCAGCACAGGCAGCCACTCGATGGCCAGTGGCTGAGAAACATCTCAGCAACAGCAGGGCCAGCAGGCAGGATGGGCAGAGGCCAGGGTACACCAAAAACTTGGCACGTTGTGGCTGCAGAAAAGCAAATGGGAGAGGGACAGCCTGGTGGTAGCAACACTCCCACTTCCGTTGGCTCCTGCACTCACTGCCTCCTGTACGTGGATAAAATAAGACATCCTCGAAAATAAGCCGCAATGGGTCTTTTAGAACAAAAATAAATATAAGACTCAGCCTTATTTTCAGGGAAATATGGTATTCATACTTTGAAATATTAATATTATAGGGTCAGATGGTGTCCTGGGATTCACAATTCTGTTTGAAGTGCCAAAATGGGAGCGCGTGCTGGAAACTAGAAGAGCAACTCCCTGGTGCGCCACTCGGGAGCGCCAGAAACTGGAAGCTCAGCTTCACCTGGTCTTCCAGTTTCTAATGCTCATGCACACATGAAGACTAGTTGGCTGGTATGCACATGCGCACCCGGGAGCTGCTCTTCCAGTTTCCGGCGCTCCTGTGAATGCAAAGACCAGCTGGCTGGCGTGCATGTGCGCACCGGAACCCAGAAGAGCAACGGGTGATGGCTGGCATGCCCAGAGAGATGGCTCAGTGTGTCACTTCTGGCACGTGTGCCATAGGTTCGCCATCACAGGGCTATAGCAACAAAAAAATGCTTTCTTCAATCTGAGTATTCTTCCTAATATTGGATAGTTTCTGGAGTTCTAATTGCTTTCTTACATGATTTTCCCAACTATTAGATTCCTTAAGTTCAAAGAGATATTGATAAATACTCACCTCTACAGGAAAGTTCTCCTTAGTGGTATCCACAAAAGGCTGGCAGTAATGGGGATCCAAGTATAACAGGAAGTCATCTAGGCATGAAGGGAAGTAGGAGGCAGAAATAAGCAATGCATCTTAGTATGACTATCTTCTACTTGAAAAAAATGCACTTGTCAGAAGAGGAAACATGGACTATGCAACATGCTCTTAGCTGCTTTTTCCATCAATTGGTTCACATGCCTCCTCTTTGAATTAGTCTGCTGCTTAACTGGTAGCAATTTTACAAATAGCTATTAACTTTTTTCCCATTTACCAAGGATACTTCTACTTTTTATTAGGTAAATGACAGGAGTTGCCTATATGCAGGCTTATTCTCCAAGTACAAAGAACAACTACTGCCTTTTTAGCTACAATCCATTCAGATCCAACTAGATGATTCTTTCCTTTCTAAAAATAAGCAGCTCCAAAAAATTAAAAATCCCTGCTTATTTACTTCTTTTTATATTGACCATTCTTCAAACCATACCTATATTACCATATGCATTGTTGGTATTTCATTGCAACCACACTGACTTCAAATATCTAGGAAGGCTTTTATTTTTACTGGCTTACAGCTTTCATTAGTTTAATTGCTCATTTTTAATCACACAAAACGAATGGTTTGGGTATTACCATATAATAAATAAAAATGATGACATCAAGGCTTTTTGGAGCTGTAATGGATTGATTGGAAAAAGTGAACTTCCTTTTACTGGTTTGAGAAAGTAACAAGGATTGTCAGACATGGATTCTGCAAATTCAGCTGTGCTGGGTAAATTGCCAATTAAAATTTAACCCCATTATTCTGTTACTCATGTGTTTGGCAATCCAAACAAGCATAAAACCAAGAGTGTCATAATTACAAATGGAAGTTTCAGTCCAATAGGATTAGAGTATTTGAAATAATATTCAATAGGAAAAACATGTAAATTTTATTACTGTTACACTGGTAATTACAGCGTAAAGTTTATACCATTACAGAAGTTATTGTATATTAAGAATTTGGGTAATAAATTTACTGGTTATATAGCTTAGTGTAGAAGTTAGAAAAGCTGATTTGGCTCAACCTATTATTAAGAGGGAAAATAGATTAGAGATTTCTGAGGCTCACAGTTAAATTCCATTACCTTGATATCCGACAAAGTACAGTGAATGTTTTGGTTTCCCTCCAATAATTCCAATGCAGAAATCTAACTTCAACAGCTCCTGCAGGATAAGGTTCAGAATTCAGGAATTCCACCAAATCTTTGTTCCTTTTCTACTGTGATATTCAACTCCCAGTACTTATCTACAATGACTAGGAGAGAGACTATCACTTTTCAACCACAAATGTACAAATGTAGGAAAAGACAATGTAAGTGGTAAGAATTGGAAAAGCTGATAATTCAGTCTACTGCTATTCCTGATTTGCTGATTTTGTAAGAGCAATTTTCTTGTCTTAGTTAAACAACTGGGAATACATACAAGGAGATTACAGAAACCATCTCCTACAGACATTGTACAGTTCTGCTTACAGAATATTGCAACTTTGAGACACAATCAATATAGCCTTTTCACGCAATCAGTTGGAAAAGAATGAGACATCAACATGGATTGTATGTGAACCCCAGTATCCCACTATTTGCACCTGTTCTCAAGTCACCTTGATGCACTCCACATAGGCAGGATTAAAAGTCTCTCCACCCAGCCGCATGGGCACCAGGATAATGACTGCTTTCCATTCTGCCTCAGGATCCCATGGAGTCCTGCTGTTATTCTTCTTGGCTAGGTTTCCCACATCCCCTTTGTACACTATGGGGATATGAGAGAAGAGAATTCAGTCATAAACTATATGGACAAAAAGCTAGTTAAATCCCTTTGACTGTCCTGAGACTTGAGCCCAGGACAAACCTGTCCAATTCCCCCTTCTCCAAACTTACCTGTGCAATCCTGAGAAACATATATTACCAGATTGCCTGCTTCGATAGAACAATCCACTGCTTTCCTACAGGAACAAAATAGCACGCTTCAGTGAAATAGTATCCTTGTCAATTTTTCACAGTTCAGATGGTTGTCATGGGAAGGAGGATGGAGAGTTGACAAATAGTAAACTTATTAATGGAAAAATTTCCTTGCTGGGGAAAAAGGAAATTGGGCTCAGTTTGGGATAGCATAATGATGTAGGAGTCAGAAAAGCTTCCAAGATGCCATTGCTGCCCTAATACATAAAATTGTGAACCTTTTATCATTTTAATGTTGCTGACCACAACTCACAGAAAACTGAATCAGCATGGGTAATGGTATGGCATGCCAGGAATTCTAGTCTAGCAGCATAGGTTCCCCATTCATAAGAATATATTTGGCTTGCAAGGTGACAGCTTCTGAAAGATTCAGATGCTAAAGAAATGTGAGATTTGCCATGTATTGCCTTTCTCAACTTTTTCATAATTAATGATGCAATTAATCAAGGACAAGAAAGCCAGCAAAGTTCTATTGTTATTCTTTTCAACAAAATGGGCGTTGGTTCTTACCTGACACGCCCCTTCTCGGCGAGCCGCGAGGAGCATCCAGAGTGGAGGTGCTTCAGACTCCTCTCTCACAGGCTGAGCTTGAATTGAGGAACGCTCCTCCTCCTCCACGTGATTCCACGTAGCGTTCCCCAGTTTTGCGAGGATGAGAAGAAAAAGCCGTGTACTCATCCTAACCAACTAATGGATCATTGGCCGAAACAAGATTCCCCACCAGACGGAGAAATTAGGGTGGGGCTGGATGCTCCTCACGGCTCGCCGAGAAGGGGCGTGTCAGGTAAGAACCAACGCCCATTCTCCATAGAGCTGCTCAGAGCATCCAGAGTGGGACATACCAAAGCTTGGCAGTCCTATGGGAGGGACTCCGTCTGGGTCGGAAGCCCCTCCACTTCATCGAGGACCCTCTGTAGGACTTGTCTGCCAAACGAGGCCTCCGCCGAGGCAAATATGTCTATCTTGTAATGCCTAATGAAGGGAGACGGGGAAGCCCAGGTGGCGGCCCGGCATATATCAGTGATTGGAGCCTAGGTAGCCCAAGCTGCTGAAGTAGCCGCACTCCTGGTGGAATGTGCTGTTATTCCACTGGGCATTGGCAGAGCTTGTGACAGGTAGGATCTGGAGATAGTTGCTCTGATCCAGCGACCGATGGTTGAAGGGGATACTTTGAGACCCAATGTCTTGGGCTGAAAGGAAAGGAATAGGGATTCCGACCTCCTAAAGGGTTGAGTGCGCTTAATCAGGCATGATATTCCGCTCTGAAAAAAAAATCGGGGCCGGCCAAAAGAGACCCCCGCCGCGCGCCCGGGGAGCGCCCGCTGCTTTCCCTCGCCAGGGCCGGGCGGCGGCGTGTTGCACGGAGGCTGGTCTGTGGCTGGCCCAGCTCCCTTTTCCTGCCGCTCAGCGGGCTCCGCTCGCACCGCCCGGGCTCCGCTCAGGTATCCGGCTGGGGCTGTCAGGAGTTGCTACCGCCGGCGCAGCTCCACGCGGCTCCAGTCCCGCATTGCCTCGGGAAGGGAAAGGCAAAACCAGGAGCCGCTGCTGCCGTTGCAAAGCGCCGCCGCGGCTCTTCCTTTTTGCCTTTCCCTTCCTGAGGCAACGCGGGACTGGAGCCGCGCAGAGCCGCGCCAGCAACTCCTGACTCGGGGCCTCCGAGGGGAGGGGAAGGAGGAGAAGAAGGGGTGGGGGGAAAGGAGGGGGCGATTCCCAAAAAAATCAGAATTCCGATTTTAATCGGAAGAATATCATGCCTGTTAATGTAGATGCGCAGGGCCCGTCTCACATCCAGGGTGTGCCAAAGAATTTCCCTGTCCCGTGAGGGTCTGGGGCAAAAGTTTGGGAGAATTAGTTCCTACGCCCTGTGGAAAGCTGAGTTGACCTTGGGCAGGAAGGTAGGGTCGGGTCGGAGAACCACCCAGTCGGCGTGAAAAACGCAGAGGTCCTTTCTGACTGATAAGGCTGCGATTTCCGATATTCGCCGGGCCGATGTAATGGCCACCAGGAACACCACCTTAAATGTTAAAAACTGGAGGGAGGACTCCCTCAGAGGTTCAAAGGGGTGCTTAGTGAGTGAAGTAAGGACCTTATTGAGGTCCCAGGTAGGGTACCTGTGAACAGTTGGGGGGCATAAGTTGGTGGTTCCTCTGAGGAATGCCCTAACGCGAGGGTGGTGGGAGAGGGAGCCAAAATTGTTGCAAGAGATAACAGTTGTCAGGGCTGCGACTTGTCGCCTCAGGGTGTTAGGGGAAAGTCCTTTATGCAGGCCCTCTTGGAGGAATTCCAAGACTTGAGCAATAGAGGGGGAGAGAGGGTTAACTTGGGCTTTATGACACCACTTGCAGAAGCTATTCCAAGTGGCATCGTAGATCCGGGTGGTTGAGGGCCGCCTAGCAGCTAGAATGGTGTCAATCACTTGACTAGAGAATTTCTCTTTCCTTAGGCGGTTCCGCTCAACCTCCAGACGGCTAACTGGAGCCATTGGGGATCCGGATGCAGAAGGGGCCCCTGGGAGAGGGCGATCCTGTCCGCGGGAATTCTCCAGGGGGGTGCTACAGATAGATTGCGGAGGTCCGCAAACCACGGGCGCCTGGGTCAGTAAGGGGCCACCAGAAGCAGGTCCGCCTTCTCGTGGATTAGTTTCTGGATCACTCTGGGAACTAGGGCTAGTGGGGGGAATGCGTATAGGAGCCCTGGTGGCCAGGGACAACGTAGGGCGTTGTGGTTCTCCGACCCGTGGGACGGGTATCTCGAGAAAAATCTTGGAAGTTGTGTATTGAGCGGGGATGCGAAAAGGTCCAGTCTGGACGCCTCCTTGAACAGGGATGGGTGGAGGCGCCATTCTGACTGGTCCACCGTGGCCCTGCTCAGCCAGTCCGCCTGGATGTTGGAAACTCCTGAGATATGCTCTGCTTTTAGCGAGAGGAGATTGGACTCTGCCCGACGACAGAGGCGTTCGGCCTCTCTCATCAACTGAATGGACTGTGTGCCCCCTTGCCTGTTGATGTGTGCTTTGGCAGTGACGTTGTCCGTGAGAATGAGGACATGACGTCCGCGTACCTGAGGGAGGAAGCTGCGCAGGGCCAGGTGGACAGCGTGCAGTTCCAGCCAGTTTATGCTGCATCTTTATTCTATCTTTGACCATCTGCCCTGTGCCGTGAGCGAGTTGACGTGAGTGCCCCATCCGGATAGGCTGGCGTCTGTGGTGAGGGTGAGCCTCTGGGGCTCCTTGAAGTAATGACCAGAGGAGGGACGTGAGGACCTTTGGAGGTACCTTGACCTTGGATTTCGAATTGCTTCTGCCGGATCTTTGAAATGGGAGCAGGAACCACTGTAGGGATCTGCTGTGTAAACGGGCCCAGGGAACAATGGAAATGCATGAGACCATCTTACCTAGTAACTTGGAGAGGTCTAATAAAGTTACCTTTTTTGATCATCTAATCTGCTTAACAGATTTCTGGATACTGAGGAACCTCTCTGAGGAGAGAAAGACCTTTTCTGTGACCGAATCGATTACAGACCCCAAGTGAGTAATTCAGGTGGATGGAGCCAGCTGGCTCTTTTGCCAGTTTATAAGGAACCCGTGGGCTTGGAGGGCGGAGAGAGTAGCCCTGGTATCCCTCTCTGCCTGGCGTCTGGAGGGGGATAGGATGAGGATATCATCCAGGTAGCGGTGGAGGCGTACGGGAAGGTTCCTGAGGTGAGCCGATCAAAGCCCCCTTCTTCCTCCTCCTGCTCCCTTTCTGGAAGAGGGCTGTCCCTCTGTGAGAGTACCTGACCGAGAGGAGGATCCAATCTTGGAAGGGATCTGACGGAAAGAGACTCATGTTCGGGGGCCCTCGGGGAGAAGCCGGGTCTGGACATTTGTTGGAGACCCTCCACAATTCCCTGGCGGATAGCCAGTTCCATCCATGCTCTCATTTGTGCTGGAACCTCTACTGTAGAAGGTTCCTCTTGGCGCGGACCAGCGGCCGTAGGAGTAAAGGTGGCTTCAGGTGTCCGTCTGGTCGTTGGTCCAGGGGCCTGATGCCCCTGGGGTGAGCTGCGCCTGGATAGGGAAGAGTGGTCTGGAGGAGGGGGGGTTGATTAGAGGTGGAGGGAGTGGAAGGTGTGAGGGCTGGAGGCATCGAACGTGACTCCCTAGATCGCCTATCGAATTCCTTCTCCAACGCCTTATGGCGCCTTAGGGCATCCCTCTGGGAGGCCTTGGAAGGTTCCTTAGCCTGCCTGCGCAAATGCTTCGATTTGGCCTTCAGAGAAGGGCGTTTAGAAGAATTGTCATCTGCCATTTTAAGAAGTAATAAGCGTATATAAATTACTAGAGACGGTTGGCTCGCCTAGGGTTCGGCCTACAACAAAGCCCGGGTGTCCTTTGAGCTGGTCCGCGCCCCCTTTTGGAATTTTTTATTATGTACTACGATAACAACTATATGGAGATATATATTGATATTAGTAATAAAGTATATATATATATATAAATATATTTGTTTTTTTTGTTTTTTTGGATATATAAATTTTTATTTTATATTTTTATATTTTCAATTATTTTTTTTATTTTATTTTTTATCAGAACTAAATAAGTTAAACTGGTATAACTGGATCTGGCTCAAAGGCAGAAGGCAACCGTTGGAAGGTGGATAGCAACAAGAGAAGAAAACGAAAGCTGATCAAAGATTAATGAGTATCCAATTAGCCGAATGAACGCCTGAGGCCAGAAGTGGAGAGGCCTCCAGCAGTTGTCCTCCAGGCAAAAACTGGAGGGGGGGGTGCTGCTGTACTTCGCCCCGAGTGAGGCTGCGGGAGGGCCAACAATAAGATCAACCAAAGCCAGGTATTAACAGATAGCGAAGTTATAGACTGTGCTCTTGACCCGCTGAGGGTCCAGATGAGAACTAGGTCGACCGCAGCTTATTTCAACAGGAAACAAAATGGCGCCCGACCATGAGGCGGCGCCCAAAATGGCGGCCACGAGCTGAGCAAGTGTTGGGCCCTCTCGGGACGGTTAAGCTCCTCCGGCTAGCTCAGCGTGCCGAGAGGGGCTGCGCAGAAGAGATATGGCTCTTCCTGAGCGATCGGCGTTCGAGGTGGGGGGAAAACCAGCGGCGCTTTAAGCGCGAGATAACGAGCTGCTAACGAGGCGGCATGGAAAGAGGCAGGGAGGACAATTGGATCAAGGATGGGGGGGTTAGCGCAAAGGTGCCGCAAGCCCGCCCGCTTTTATACCCTTAGGGGCGAGAAAGACGCTCCCCTGGGTCACTACCAAATGCGCAGGGGCTAAGAGGAGAAATTCAAACCTTTTCTGCAGAGAAATAGGAAAAATCCTGAATCGGCCAAGGAGCATTCATTAACAACAGCCTATCTCTCCGAGGCTGAGCAAAAACTGGGGAACGCTACGTGGAGTCACGTGGAGGAGGAGGAGCGTTCCTCAATTCAAGCTCAGCCTGTGAGAGAGGAGTCTGAAGCACCTCCACTCTGGATGCTCCGAGCGGCTCTATGGAGAATTTAGACAAGTCCCCTGCATTCTAAGCAGGCGTTTTAAAGACACAGATCCAGCAGGTCCATTTAGTACTTTAGTCAATCATTCTGAAACCTTGTGATAACAGAGTTTGATTATCCCTGGTTGTGCTGTCAAAAAATTCCCAAAATAAGAACATGGAGCATTCTTGGCAGAGAACCTAACTTCCACATAACTAGCTGGGCACCCAACAGAATACTGAAATAATTAGGAGCTTGCAAAATGTTTCAATGTTAACCATTTGAAACACCTACTTTTTAAATTTGAAATAAATTATTTCAGTCACTCTGAGAATACTCAAAACACTACCAAAGTCATTGAAACAGACTATTTCAGATGAAGACCAGCTATTTCAAATTAAAATTATTTTGAACTTCAAATGGGATATTTTCATTTTAAAATTGTCAAATCCAAAGTGGTCTGTACACAATAAACCTCCCAACTTAACTACCAACAAACAAACCAGAATATCCGCCCATAAAGACTCCCACTGAGAGAGTGTTAATGATCCCCAAACCTGTTCTTCCTCATCTCTATAATATAAATTCATTCAGATACCAATTACTCACCTGAGGATGTGGGCAGTAACAGAAGGGCCATACCAATCTCCAGCTTTCTTCCCTGAATTATGCCCAAGATCAACTAGTTGGTGGATCCCAAAGGGTGCTTGTGGCTGATCTGCAAACCATGAAATAATCTTACGGTGGTAGCATTCCTTCTCCAATTCATCAGATCTGCAGGAATGCCGATGAGCCCACAACTCCCAGGGTCCTATAGTCCTATTAGTGGGGATGGATGAAGTTTGGTGCAGATGGGAGATGCTGGGACAGGGTAGAGAGGAAACTTTCATGGGCTGCATATTTGTCAAATTGGTAGTGATAAGGACATCTGACCAGGTCCAGTCTGAAAAGTGAAACACAAAATCAAGAAAAATAAGAAAGGATAGCAAGCCATCCAATTCCCCAAAGCCCATAGAAATTAATTAAGGTATCACTTATTCACTCAATAGCAAACACATTGTAACAGACTGTATATGTGGATACCATACCTGCTGAAGTTGACTAAATTATGACCCACATTTTGGTTGGTGGAAGAATCTGTATCATAAATGGTGAGCTACTCAAATTTTCTATTATTATGCAAATGTCTTCTGTTGATCTCTGGAAGATGACAAATCCAAAAAAACTGTTATGACCCAGATGGACAAGACTAGGCAGGCCTCTTGAGAGTCTTTTATTTCTCCTGGAAAGAGTTAAACAATTGACCCTCCACTGACTGGTCAGGATCCACCCTCCCACAAATAACAGCCCATAAATTATCTGATCAGTTCACAAAGCAAAAGTCCAGAAAGAAAGAAAGGGCAGTACTCAGAGCAAGGTAAAGGTCCAAGACAAGGCGCAGTTTTCCCAAAGTGAAACAACAGACAAATGCAGTTCACAATCAAGGACACAGGTCAAACCAAAAAGCCAAAAGCACTTCTCGAAACAAGATGGGATCCAAGGCAAGGCAGGTCTGAAAGGAGAATCTTTAGGGCTAGGGCAAGCCAAGGACAGTCCTCAAAACAAGGCAAAACCAAATCTTCAAAACAAAGCAGCCTGAGTCACAGCCGAGTGTAATCTGAAAACTAACACTTGTTCCTGGCAAAAGGAATAGGTAGCTATAGATATGCTTCACGAACAGTTTTGCAAGTTTTTTTGCAGATGGAAGTCCTTTACAGGCTGTAAAGTGAGCCTACTTAAAGAATAAGTCAATACCAGTCCAAATGATCGTATTCCCGCCACTCTCAGGTAATTCTACGATAAAGTCCATTGCAATTTCTTCCCACGGCTGTGTTGGTTCAGCTACTTGTTGGAGGAGGCGAGGGGGTTTACCAGTTCTGTGTTTCATCGTGGCACAAATTGAGCAGTTTTTCACATAGTCCTCGACATCAGGTTTCATTTTTGGCCACCAGAACTGTCTTCTGATTAAATGTACGGTTTTTAAGAAACTGAAGTGTCCCCGCAATTGTGAGTCATGGCTACACTTTAGTACCATTAGTCTTAGATTTGCGGGTACATAAAGTATAGTCTCTTTCCAAGTCAGTCCCTCATTCATTGTCAATTTGGTTTGATGCTCCACAAACCAGAGATTGGTCAATAAGGCTGCTTTCAACTCAGTTGTCATTTTGTCTTCCAGGAGTCTGGGGTTGCGGTTGGCTTGGCCTCGGTTACTTGGTTACTTGGGCTGCCGATCGAGCTCTGATATCATAGTCTGCACTACTTCCTCTTGGCGACTGTCAAATTGGGGTTTCCTTGACAGGGCGTCCGCCAATATGTTTTTTCCTCCGGGGATATATTTCATGTTGAAGTTGAACTGCTTGAAATACTGAGCCCAGTGGACTTGTTTAGGTGATAGCTTCCAAGGTGTCTTTAGAGCCCCAAGGTTCTTGTGATCAGTCCACACCTCAAACGGCTCCATCACCTCTTCTAGGAAATGCCTCCAAATCAACAAAGCCCATTGCACTGCAAATGCTTCTTTCTCCCAGACTGCCCATCTTCGCTCTGTGTCTGTCAGCTTTTTGGACACATAAGCGCAAGGCATCAGTCGGTTCTGAGAGTCCTTTTGGAGAAGAATGGCTGCAACCGCCACATCACTAGCATCAGCTTGGACTATAAAAGGTCTGGTCGGGCCAGAAGTGTGCTGTGAACTGCACCCCCTGGTCAGACACTACCCGATCCAGTAGACCATACAGCCGAAACACATGGGCAATGAACAGATGTATCATTGTCCGAGTGGTAGGGAGACCTGCATATAGGATAAAATGGGCCATCTTCATGAGCATGTCCATGATCACCAGTATCATGGCACCCTTCGATGGGGGCAAATCCGTAATGAAATCTAATGAGACTGCCCCCCCACAATCTTGCCAGCATAGGTAATGGCTGCAACAGACCAGTGGCATATTTGGCTGTCAACGTTGCCCACATAACATCACATATCCCGACACGTCATGCCAGAGTCACGGCCACCAAAATGTCCTAGAGACGCGGTGCAACATCTTGAAGACCCCAAAGTGCCCCACTGCCGGACTGTCGTGACATTGTCTCAGGATACTGCCATGGAAGTCCCCCTCAGGAATGTAGTCACTAAAATGTAACAGGTCCTCCATGTAAGTCCAAGGGATCTCATTTTTCCCATTGCAAGCCAACTCACAACAACGAGTCACCACAAACAGATCCTGTTGCTGCGCTTTGCGAATCCTGACCCGTAGGTCCATGGACTCCTTGGTGGCCATGAACCATTCCAAGTGAATAACCGTTCTGGCCTTAATCTTGTCCTCCTTTTGGATAAACTTGGGCTTGCAGAACAGCGCATCTGCACACTGATTCTGCATGCTAGGGACATGTCACCCAAAAGTCAAACCTTGCGAAAAACAGTGACCATCGCACCTGGTGCTGGTTCAGTGTCCTGGCAGTCTGTAGATGTTCTAGGTTCCAATGGTCAGTTCGAACCTCAACTTGCCCTCTCCAATTAGTGCCACTACGTTGACCATCAACACCTCCTTGTCCCATATGTCATAACTCTTCTTCAGTGCCATGGGAACAAGGTGCTTGCAGGGGCATCGGCCTGCAGGAGCCTGCCCAGATGGCCACATCTGACGCATCCATCCGCACGGTCTTAATGGATCGGGATGCTTGAAGATGGGCTCAGAGGTGAAGGCAGCCTTAATGTCATCAAAGGCCCCCTGCTCCTCAATGCCTCAATGGAACTTCACCTCTTTCTTTAACAGATTGGAAAGGGGAGCAGTCTGGATAGCAAAGCGGGGAAAGAATGTGCAGTAATAGACATGGTTTTATAAACTTATAAAAATAGGGAGGTGTATATTTCTATGATTTTGTTTTGTAATACTTACTTGATCACCTTATGCGAGAGAGACCAGATCAAGAAACTGACTCCATAGGAAGACTACAACTACAAAATTGTTGACATAGGCTACAGTAGCAGAATCCTGCAAGCCTGGAAGGTAAAATATTTTACTTTTCCTCCCTTTTATAACCTTCTGAGTCAAGGACAGCCCCTTGGAACACTCTGGAGGCCCCATTTGGGCCTGGAAGGTCTCCTGGAGCATTCCATAGGCTCTGTTTTGCACCTGGAAGACCTCCTGGACCACTCTAGAGGTCATGTTTTGGGTCTGGAAGGCCTCCTGCACAATTGTGCAGACTCTGTTTTGGGCCTGGAAGACCTCCCGGAGGACTCTGAAGGCCAAAAGCAGTTGTAGGGGTCTGTGTGCCCCACCTGCGCCCCATTTTTGCGAGCAGAGGCACCGCGGGCTGGTCCTTTGCTATTTCCAGACTGGTCCCGTGGGCCAGATCTAAGCACCCCGCCTTGAGTTTGACACCCCTGCTCTGGAAGAACACATCAAACTAGTATGCCATGTCTTGAAAAAACTCTTAGCTATATAACTGTTAAAGACTGAGGGGAGGGGACTCCTATGCCGTGACCTAGCCAGCCACTGGCTTTGACCCTAGACTGTCAGCAGGCTTTCAAAGAGCTAAAGAAACTGTTCGCTGAGGAGCCCATCCTCAGCACTTTGTTGTCCAGGTTGATGCCAGTGACATGGCTGTGGCAGCAGTGTTACTGCAAGCTAATGCTCAGGGTCAGCTGCAGTCCTGTGCCTACACATCCAATAAACTCACCAACATTGAGAAGAGGTGGGCCATGTGGGACAAAGAAGCCTATGCAGTCTGGTTGGCCCTCCTTACTTGGAGACACTTGCTAGAAGGAAGCCAGGTGCCATTTGAGGTTTGGACTAACCACAAAAACCTAGGGGCACTGTAAATGCCCCGTAAACTCTCACCTAAGCAAGTCCGTTGGGCCCAGTACTTCAAACCATTTAAGTTTTAATTAAAATACATCCTGGGGGAGAAAACCTACTCACTGACACCTTGTCCAGAAAGCTGCAGTTCAACAGCCACCAGGAGGAGATAATCCACACAATTATCCTTTCCTCACAACCAGCAGCCCAAGCCAACATGAGAAGCTAAACCCGGTGCCGTGACAATTTTGGAGGAGACCCGATGGTGGGAGCATTGAAGGCAGTGCTCCCTGCATTTCCATGGCTAAACAACAACAGACTGTACAACATGATTGTACAACTGAAATCATACACACAACCTTCTACAATGCTATTACAAATCTGGGACTGGAACAACTAGTAACCAACAACACTAGACTAAACAACTGCCTCGATCTCATCTTCTGCAATAGTTTGAATTTAATTTACGGAATACAAACTAAAGAACCCTTTTCCAGTAGTGACCACAATATGATTGACTTTTGTCTCAACATACGTCCACACAAAAATCACCACAATGATGTAATCCCCAATTGTAACTTCAAAAAAGGCAACTATGATCTTATAGACAACGATCTCTCATCCCTGGATTGGCAATCTCTATTCACTGGATGCAATACTGTTGAAGACCATTACAACATATTTTTACTTGAAGTCAAAAGAGTCATCAAACTATATGTACCAACAACAACTCCCAAAACAAAACAAAAAAGCAGATTACCCATATCAATAAGGAAACTTCAATCCAAAAAGAGATCACTCTGGAGGAAAAACAAATCTGGTCACGTTGCCAATTTCAAAAACCGATACAAAAATTTATGCCACCAGATAAAGACCGAATGCACCAATTATCACATTAAACAAGAGGAAAACCTTCTAAGCACCAATTCCACCCGTGCTTTTTACAATTTTGTAAACAACAAACTAAAAGACTCAAGGTCCATCCCTCCCTTGATAGGACCTGATGGTAAAGACTGCAACGGCGACACCATTAAAGCCAACATCTTTAACACATTCTTCGGCTCAGTATTTGTAAACAGCAATGGATCATACCCAGTATTTCCTAGCC